TGATTTCACTATTTTAGTGCATTTAGAAAAAAAAAACTACAAAAGTACATTTCAAACAGATTTTACAGAAAAAAATTCTTTCATAGCATATGTACACCAAATCTTATAATATAATGTCGAATTAGTTAAATTCTACCTCCATATGTTGAAAGTTCAGCCGGCTTTATAAATATGCACCACACTGTATATATGTACGTAAGTATGTCATGAAGATATGCCAGCTATTCGTTTATTACGATATATTTTCTTTTATTAAGGTTAAATTAAATTCAATACACTGTTATATATTTTGCTGATGTATTAATAATTACCAAACTTTACACGGATGACCTGATAAAACCAGAACTTACTTAAAACCTGATCCAAGAGACCTCTACAACTTCAAAATATTTTGAAGAAAAATTGATTCCGGTGAAATTTAATTAAATTTACACTTGCATGCCTGAGGCAAGTCGACTGAATCTGCAGTATTAGAAATGAGGAAAATAATGATTTAATCAGTCAGTATTTGTTTTTATTTCCTTATTTTTACTGAATAAAGTTTAATACTCTTGTTTGAAAAACCCTCTTAAAATTGTATGCTAAACAATCGCTTCACAAGAAAATTATTGATATTTTCCCGAGACGGTTTTTAGAGACCAGTAATGATAGAAATTTCAAGGCGCAATATATTCCTACATGTAGCTTTACTAATATTTTGTATCATGAGAATGCTACTAGGTACTAACTCATGTAATAATAATAATAAAAATAATAATAAGAACAACAGAAGCTATGGTTACAAAATAAATAAGAAAATATTCAATCACCTACTCTACATAGATGATCTCAAACTCTTTGCCAAATACGACAATGAGTTGAAAGGCCTCCTCAATATTGTAAAATACTTCAGTGACGACATAGGTATGGACTTCAGATAAGTGTGCAAAATTAACATTCAAAAAAGGTAGAATAACAGAAACACCCTTAATAGATTTAGATTTTGTCACTAAGATTAGGTAACTGGAGCATGATGAAGCTTATAAGTACCTAGGAATTAGCGAAGGAGATGGCATACAACACCCCCAAATGAAGGAAAAATAAGAAAAGATTACGACAGGCGTGTACGTCTGGTACTAAATACTGAGCTGAACTAAAAAAACAGAATATCAGCCATAAACACATTGGCTGTCCCTGTGGTGCAATACAGTTTTAATGTCCTTAACTGGACCATAGCTGAAATTAAGCGAATAGACGCCAAAACTAGAAAGCTTCTCACTTACTACCGCATGCATCATCCCAAAGCTGATGTTGATCGTCTGTATGTACCCAGATCCGAAGGAGGCAGAGGATTAGTTCAACTAGAACTGTCCTACAAAACTACAACAATTGGCCTCCAAAGATACTTGGAAACTATAGAAGACTGGATGATGTTATACGTCAAGGAACATGAAAGTAGGAAGCGTCTTTACTCCGCAATAAAAGAAGCCAACAAATTCAAAATGGATTTTCAAATGGGCGCAGAAATGCAAGTACAGCACAATACACCGGCTGAAAATGCAAAATACTTTAAAAAGACAGCAAGGACAAATGCAACCGACCAGTTACAGAAGCGATGGCAAGATAAACCGCTTCATGGCCAATACTCTGCCCGTACCAAACAAGCTGACGTAGACAAAACCCGTACCCATCAGTGGCTACGTAGTGCAGGGTTGAAAGATGAAACTGAAGGTTTTATCCTTACTTCACAGGACCAATGCTTGCTAACTAGGAATTATCAAGCACATATACTAATATATTGCCTTAGCCTAAAACGCAGATTCTGTGATAAATATCCCAAAACGCTTTATCATCTTGTATCAGGTTGCACGATATTGGCACCCACTGAATATAATCCGACATGACAGAGTGGGCCAATATCTGCACTGGAAAATTTGCAACTTCTACGGGAAGGAAACTGAAAGGAAATGGTATGAATACCACCCAGACCCGGTTACGGAGATAGAACCTGTTTCAATTCTATGGGACTACACAATACACACTGACAGAACAATCAAAGCCGTCCGCCCAGATATTGTTATTAAAGACCACAAACAAAAAAAAAACTGCCTCCTTATTGATATGACAGTCCCTGCAGACTGCAATGTATCTTTGAAGATATTCAAAAAGCTGTCAAAATACAAGGACCTTGAAATAGAAATCTCAAAAATGTGGAACATGAGAACATCAACAATCACTGTTGTAGTTGGACCCCTAGTTGGAAAAGATTCCAGTAGACTACTTGAAGGGATTCCTGGAAGTCCATGCCTCAAAGAGACACAAAAAGTTGTTCTGACAAGTACAGCCCACACATTACGAAGGGCTTTATCTATGTAATATTTTTTTTTCGTCAGTGGAAAGTGACCATTTCTAACCTTAGGTCCCTGGCGGGACCCGGAAAGAAATGTGCAAACGCCAGAGGGACAGGAGGCTTCTATCATGTAAAACGTGAACACAAAGAAAAGGAGAAGATCGTTAACTACAAGACTTCAATAATGAAATTCCAAAATTTTTGGGAGGACAAGAAAAGAAAATAAATACAGCGGGACATAGAGATGTTATACAAAAACATAATCCTTCTGGGTACTACGTTGAACTACATCCGGCAGTCAAGCCTCGCATCGGGATCATTTGAGGAGTATGGAACCACCTCTTAATTGTCGTGTTCCAAGATCCACCCTGACTAGAGGTGGTAGCTCTTGTTATGGTCCCGATTATGAGCAAATAGTGAACCCCCAAACTAGGGTCAAATCATTATGAAAGTATAAAATATATTTTTATAGAAAGAATACCAGCAATACACTTTGATAGTAAAAAAAAATTACCAACAATAACTTTCTGAAAAAGGAAGAGAAATACCACAGCCCCCAAGGAAATTAAATTTCGATATTATAGGAGTTGATATAGCCTTAAACAAACCAAACCAATCCAAAACAGAAAATTTCTTGCAGACACTGTATTGTAATTTCGAAATAGAGCCATCACAAAAAGGTTGCCTTGCCGGAACAGAGAATATGCTTTTGAGAAGCATAGAAATTTCTGAGATTGCAGCGTTATTTGTTCAAGCCTTTGATGTGAGGCACTCAGATACCTTTGTCTGTTAAGTGGTCGTCTTGCTTTACATTGACCTAGAAATACTCTTTGTCATCAACGTCTTTGTTCTGTTTTTTATTTTTTTCTTCATAGAGATATTTTCACTTCATTGCTATATTACACACATAAAATTCGTTACATGAAAAATGTCGAACAAGTAGTGCAGTGTTAAAACTTAAAGCTGAAAGTGAAATGCAGGACTAATCTGCAACATTTAAACTGTAATTTGGTATGAACACCACCCAGATCCGGTTATGGTGATAAGACCTGTAATTATTTTATGGGTCTACACACAGACGGAAGAATTAAAGCTAATCACTCTGACATCGTGATTAGAGACCGCAAAGGAAAAATGTGCCTCCTTATTGACTTGGCAGCCCCTGCAGACTGCAATGTATCTTTGAAGATCTTCAAAAAACTTTCAAAATACAAAAACCTTGAAATCGAAATCTCAAAAATGCGGCGCATGAGGACAGTAATTTCAGTTGTAGTTGGAGCCCTCGGATTGATTGGAAAATATTCCAATAGATTCATTGAAGGAATCCCTGGTATCTGATGCCTTAAAGAAACACAAAATATAAATAATGTACAGCCCACACCTTACGAAAAGGATTTATCTATGTAAAATATGTGCGATATTTTTTTTCAAAACTGCTCAGTGGAAAATGTTATGATGCCATTTCTGACCTTAGGCCTCTGTTCTAGACGTGCAAAGAAATGAGTACAAAGCAGAAACCAAAGGAAATAATAATAATAATAATAATAATCAGCAGCAGCTGCATATTTACCTGTAATTATTAGGCAAACATGGTAAAAGTGGTGTAAACACAATATGTTGATTATGAAAACAAAATATTGCGACTATTAACCACTCAGTGTCTGACTTACCAAATAAAAATCGAAGTAATTCAAAGAGCGACATGAAAAAGATTGGGCATTCATCTTTCACATTTATAAATCTACCATTCGTCCGTGCATTTTTTATTGCTTATTGTATGTTATGAGATGTTTTCCTCTGTCTGTCTTGTCTTCAATATATCCTGTGAGTGCAATGGCTAGGCAAAAGCTTCTAATGAACAGGCAGCAAAATAACTGAATAACAATAAAAATAATAATACCTGCATGACTCTCGTGGCCTCTGTTCTTAACCGATTGAGGGTGATAATATATAAACGTTTTGTCTTGGTAAATTGATATAGACGAAATTAAATATCCCAATCAATGCTACAGATTTGCTTCACATTATCAACTTGGGCATATCGCCTAGTTTCTGACGCACGGTATATTTTGGTTCGTGAGCGGTAAGAGCTGGGCGAGCATCAGGACCGATTGCCGAGAATGTACTTTTTAACTGGAACTTCTGAGTCTCATCTGGCCACCTAAGGTCAATATCATTCGATTACTGTCTAAGCAGACTGGGTTATCCGGCGTGAATTAATTTCAATGAAGGCCCAACCTGAATCTGTCGCGATGTCGCGGTCAATTGGCTGTGATGCATGTACACAATATACTCTTATCTGACTGGCCATCTCATGATATTTTGTGATTTGGATATTTGTTGGCGTGCTGCTTTCTCGATAATAATATCTGTTTATGCATTCAGTACTGTTGTTTGTATTCAAGTTGATTCTACAAGTAATATGTCTTAGTGATGGATATACTGAAAGAGAGACTGAGAAACAGATTAATTAATTGATTCATTCATTTTCTACAGCTTATCAACTCATTGCAGGTTATTTAATGCCAGAAAATATTTTTCAACAATAAGATTTGGGGGGTAAGGAAGATAATAATGATTTAGTAATACAAGTCTTACTAATTAACTCACAGCTGGGGAGAGAAAAGGGGGAATTTACGCCGTTCTCACCCGCACATCCAAGCTTACTGTACCTGACGGTCATCCGACTAAGTACTGACCAGGCTCGATGTTGCTTAACTTCTGTGATCGTACGGGAACCGGTGTTTCAACGTGTTGTGGCCGTAAGCCAAGAGATAGAGACTTAGATAAACAAACTGATAGATAGATAGATAGATAGATAGATAGATAGATAGATAGATAGATAGATAGATAGATAAACAAACTGATACATAGATAGATAGATAGATAGATAGATAGATAGATAGATAGATAAACAAACTGATACATAGATAGATAGATAGATAGATAGATAGATAGATAGATAGATAGATAGATAGATAGATAGATTAATTAAGAGTGAATTATAATTATCTAGACAACACTGTGATTCGTTAAGTCATGTTTTGATTGAAACTATATAATTTATGTCTGAATTTACGAGATGCTAGGTTATTCTTATTCACACTATTTATATGCGGACTATTGTCCTCATCTTTTCGTTATCGCTACATTTCAGTCTATATGCCCTCCGGCCTTCATCCGGACAATACGGGTAACTTAATGGAATTCCAATCTGAATACTTTATTCAATTTTCTCTTTCCACCGACGGAATCTTTGGATATTGCACTGTCCATATGCTTTTCTTTGACATTCCCTTGGCAATAGGAGGTATCATGCAGAAGTAGCAATCAGTTGGCTCTCTTCAAATCATGGGCACTGCAAAGGCATAGAATGTTTTCCTTGTTAGAGATTAACTGAGATATGTTGCACAGGTATTACAGCATATGTAATTCAAAGTATAGTTGGTAAGCTTTTCTCGCAACAGATGTTATATTTCGATTTTGACATGTAAAATTTACTTCACCACAGAAGTAGAAGTCACCGGCTTTGTTCAGACATTCTCGGTGCATTTTGATAGAAGTTAAATTTGTGCAAGTTGAAATAATTTATTCGGAGAATAATTATATTTGACTAACAAGCTTTGCCCGCTCACTATTGCAAAGTAAGATATATTCACTTATTGAAATCATTGAAACAAAAATTTTAAATAAACATTTCGTTCATAAATTGGCTTGTTATATTGAAGGAAAGTTTTACAAATAGTAAAATGTAAATTTCAAACACTTTTCTGCACTATATAAGACGAGATTCCTAAACGGAATTAATTTTATACGGAAATCAAAATAATCTTCGAATAAAAGAACCGTAATGAAGGACAATTAATTAATGAAATAAACTTTTTAAAAAATCAATATGCAAATTAATTAAACCTGAAGATTAATAGTGCCTAGAAGTAGATAATATATAAAACAGATATGGAGGCTTTTTGAGCTGTGTCTTTGTGGGAGAATTGAGCTCCAATTTCGCCTATTTTTCTTATAGATTCCATATTATAGGTTTTATCTATTGCTTTTCTGACTCTTCAAATGTTGAATGTATATCGAATTCTAATTTCTATTTTCCCATTTTTACACTATATTAATTTTGTCTTATAAATTGTCCACTGTTCTGTTACTCATAAAATAAAAATAAATCTCTGTACATCAAATCGTCTTTAAATTAAATGGCAGCAGAAGAATTATCGTTGAACTAAGGTCAGCTTAAACATGAATTCAATACTTAAATGCAGCGATCAATTTTGAGATCTGTGGTTTATCGACGTCTATCGCATCTACTCTTCCCTAGTTATTGTGATGGTGGCCAAAGCAATAGTCCTCCAACTAAGCTAGCTTAAATGCCGCCATATAGGTCGGCTTTTAAGCTAGCTTAAAATTTTTGCTAGCTTAAAATTTTTGCTAGCTGCATTTTGGGATACAAAATGAAAATAAGAGTTACTCCGCTCGAACGATAAAAGCAACGATAATGGCAGGTATGGTATATTAATATAGATTTTTAACCTCGCAAAATCTGGCAACCATGAATCTGAGCTCAATGAAAATCGTTCCCAGCGCTTAACTTTTCTAGGGCTTTGAATGAGCCATGAATCATTGAAATCGGAACAGTGGAAGCGGAGGAGTTGCTTGGACACACACACACACATAGACTGTACTGTATATATAAGATAAGGTTATCTGTAGAATAATAAAAATTTGATGAAATATTCATATACCACAAGTATTATATCTTGAAAGCTAGAGTCATACAACAATTTTTGGTATCATTTTTATTTTGTGCCTCAAATCAGCTAAGATTGGCTATTTTATTCTTGGAAACATTCATGTCGTAGACCAATGTAATTGGATTCAATGCCATCAGACACCAAAATTGCACGAAAAACGTTTGGCCAGGGATATATATGCTATTGGAAATAGGATAAAACAATTGTCTCTACCATTAGCGTCTCCACAGCATAAAACCGAACTTAACAATCAAACATTGTAAATTTCTGTCTTGTTTAACATTTACCATTGCTAGTAATAGACAGCTTGCAAAGTCGCTCAGTGATAACGTGCATTGGAAATTGAATTTGAAAAACGACGATGAGATACTTTAACAAATAACACACTGTTTACCTGCGACATCTTCTCCTTTTCCTTTTGCATTCTGACCTTTCTTCTTTCTGTATCTCACGTCTACATGAGTAAATAATCTAATACATACATACATACATATATATATATATATATATATATATGATTTGTGCAGGTATTGTTCATGAAATCATGTTTGAAAGAATTCTTCCTGCCAAAATACACAATATTTCAATTATATTGACAAAATAGTTCGATGTGCTCTCGTGGAAAGAGAAATCAAAACATCCAAGGACAGCAATAAATGAGGTCATATTTAAGTGACTTGAAATTGCTTCCAGTAAACAAGGGAGCACCAGGATGTGTTGGGATCAAACAGGGGAAGAAGATAAATACATTGAATTGAGAAAACACAGACTTTTTTTTACTGCCGACATCATTTCAATCTCAACGCTTTAAAAGGAGCTAACACAATAGACAAAGCGAAACAACTAGAAAACACCGATAACATTTCTAATAACAAAACATACTTCATAAGGATGTCAGCTAAAACACTTTCTACGAAACTTGGAAAGGAATCAGTCATACCTAATAATGATATGTATTTGCCACCACGTCCACGACAGTCGGAGATAGAGAAAAATATCCAACGTCAGTTCTGGTACCGGCACTTATCAAATAAATAGCTTACAATGTAAAAACAATAAAATAGATGTACATTAAGACAACCATTCCGACTAGCTCGCAATGCAAAGCAACAAAAGGGGACATAACTCTGATTTTATAACTGCCACCCTGATTAAAAAAGAATATAATTCTTTACTGTGAAAACACCTCGATGGATTACTAATAACAAATAACTATATAGAAAACTATAAACACATATCAACAACATTAAATTACATCACAAACCTTTATTGAATCCATTCTTAAAGAATTTAACCTATCTAAAATCAACGGTATGTTCGTAAAAACGTTCCTAAATCAATATACAAAAACATCAAACATAATGCTTACTACACACACGCACACACTCACGGACTCTCACGCACACACACTTACAAATATACATTATCATATGAATATAGACAAACACCAATGACTATAAACTTACATACATAGAGCAATATTTAGTATTTTTCAGCTAAGCTTGGTATACTTTAATTTCTAGAAACGTACAAGGGACGCGTTACTTCTCTTTAAAGTTTGTTTAACAATTCAAATGCGCTAGGAACCTGATTAACCTACTCAAAATTAAAATCAAAAACAAGAATTGCTTTTGTCTTTTTCTCCATTGCTCATTCCCTTATGAAGCTTTAATTATAGTAAAATATTTTAGATTAATAAACATTTCCTATTTGTTTATGACATAATGATATATATATATATATATATATATATATATATATATATATATATATATATATATATATATATATATATATATATACATACACACATTTGGTTGGATTAATGTGAGTTTGTTAGCTCTATCTCTGATACTGAGCGCTTTCTAATAAACACCGCGCATATAATATATAAATATATATATATATATATATATATATATATATATATATATATATATATATATATATATATATATATATATATATATTAGTGAATATACATATATATATTATATATCAGTGAATATATATACATATATATATTGGTGAATATACATAATAACCAACGTCAACAACATTGCTCGGCGGACCATGCAGTTCCTGCAATCTGATGGTGTGTAAGTTTGCATTAACTGCATGAATCTTGGTTATTATGTATATTCACCAATATATATATGTATGTATATTCACAAATATATATATGTATGTATATTCACTAATATATACTTATATCTCTGTTTCATAACATTGAGCACTGTTTTATAAAATCTCAGGAATAAATATACTTAAGTACGTGCGTGTATATAATCTTTTATCCTAAAAATTGTGTATATATATATATATATATATATATATATATAATTATTTATTTAAAAATATGATTCCAACACGCTACATAAGAGGTCTCATGTTTCAAAACAAGAGCCGAAAACTTCAATATAATTATTTGAATTAAATTGAATTAAAGTAAGCTCCGTTCCATCTTCAAGCGAAATTTTTTTGGAATAACTTATTTCTCAAATTTACGTGTTTTAATAGCATATTCATTATTGAAATCAAAATTTCCATGGTAACAGCCAGGGCGATTGTTTAAATCAGTAGGGGCGTTGCGTGTTAATAATTTGTATCAGTATAGAGTTACATTCATAGATATGTAGTCAGGGTAAGGTAGAGGTGTCTAAATTTAAAACGGAAGATGTTTTCGCCTAGTCTGGTTTACGTGTCTATGGAGATTTACTTATGTTTTTTTTATTTTATTTCTTTCTGAAAGGGTTTTGTGTATATAAAAAAAACTGCCGTAACATTTGTTTTTTGACGACTTCATAAAGGGTTATCTTTTTTGTAGGTTATTTAAACTATTTATTAGGGCTATGGATTATAAAAAATTATTTTATGTTTGTTTTTAAGCTAATTATTCAATGCAAAAATTTGATGATGTCGGCAAAAAACCGTTAACTCATGTCTATTCTTTAATTGATTTTTATTATTTAGAAACTTAATAATGTGCAGTTTCTCATGGAGGCA